TTTTTTACATCTCGCAATTCAAAATAATTCAGCAAATAGATGAAGGCCTCCTCACGTCACATCGGTCAAGGTCTCTTTGACCATACTTCACCACGCTGATCAGTGCGCTGCTGAAGGGGGAAAGGCAGAACCAGTTCAGATACCGATTGCCACTGCTGTTAGCTGTGGCCGGAAAATTGAACTCGGGTCGCCGGGTTCGCAGAGCAATGCGCTTACCAACGTAACACCGTTCCACTCTGCAATTCATTATTAATATTTAAAGTACTACATGCATTCACGATATATTCGCCTGTTTTGAGGCTTGAGGTAACACACACACACTGTGTGCATGGAGATCCATTGCATGAGCCCTCTTCAAAGTCGCATGCTTGTTGTCACGAATTTTATGGTCCACAAATGAGCCGATACAAGCCACGCTCCATCGTATGTTATTTTCCTCGCGTCGAACGCGACTTTCATTTACATTGTTAACACTGCGCATACGCCGGTCTAGCTGTGGCTTGGTAACTGGCCAAGTGTCCTCGAGGCAAAACAGCTTTATATTCTGCAGCCAGCATTCGTCAGCCCGAGGGGTCATTTGCGACTGCACTCTGATGGCAAGCAACAGGAGTAGAGCTCGCGTGTGCATTGATGCGCGCGTTTAAACAGGTGTCTCTGGAGATTTCTGATGGAGATGCCAGATGAATGTTTTAAATTCGATTTGTATGCACCTGTGTGGTGGTGGTGGTGGAGTGGTTACGAAGCTGGTAACTTGGGTTCAATTGCCCAGGTTATGACGAGCGTCAGTGGGGAGTGCCGTCTGAACCTTTTCCTGGGCCTCCTCTATGTCAACTCGGTGTTTAATGAGTACCTGGTGCAGTGTGTAAACATCAGCACTGGGGAGGCAAAGGTGGCTGGACGTGCAGCTGCTAGCCACACCGCCCTGTCGTGCCGTTCACGTGTGGAAGGAGTGTGTGGGTGTTCGAACATCATACCACGATCCCCTCTGGCCCACGTTTGTTTCATAATCCTACAAATCCGTACAAAATAGCATTTGTACCTGGACTCTAAAATATCATCATGCCCTTTTGTTCTTTATCCATTGGCTGCCAGGTCCGTTCTGGCAGCCAATCGTCCACGTGCACATCTGCCTTGCCTGATCTAGTGCGGTGATATTCTTAGGCTTTTTCGGTAAAGTCACGTAAGTAAAAATTTGAAATTAAAATTAATAAAAGTAAAATAAAATAAAAATAAAAAATCACGACGTTTCGGAGGCAACACAAGCTTCCGTCTTCAGGTGGAACCGTCACAGCCACGACAGCTGTATCAAGTAAATGAGAGATTACAAGAGCTACCACTCCGTATATATAATGGTTGAGGGGGGAAGGGCCCGGAAAGGCACACTTTTTTATTAATATGGTAAGAAAAAACCTAAGAATATGAATCCTTGCAGTCACGAAAGCTTCAAATCTAGAATTAGTGCGGTGACATGTTCCTGCTCAAGCCCGCGGGTATTTAAGCTGCATTCGCAAACTCCATGCTGCGCAACTCATTTTTGCTCTCCCGCCCTGAACGAACGCTACAGGAATTGCGCAGACTTCTGATACGCACACCGTTTCAATGAGGATCATTATTGCTGTGCAAGGTTTTCACCGTGGTGCGCGTCTCGCTCTCTTCGGCAGGAACTGACGCTCGCACGCAGCGCGGCGAGCGAAACATCAGACATCAGGCCGAACAACACGAGGCATACAACCTGAAACCACGTGAGGGTGAATATCCAAACTCGAATTTCTGAGATAGCGCGACTGCTACACTGTGCTTATTGGAGGCTCAGTCTGATCTTCAGGGTGCTCTCAAATTATGCAACTGCAATTGCAACAACAAAAAAAGAGCTACCACAACCGCAGGAAGAAAACAACATGTTGCTCAGAATGACAAAACTTAACACAGCTGGTTATGTTTTAGGCAACACTGTACTGTAGTGGATTCTGAACGTGTGTCACTGCTCAAATCAAGAGTGGGACGGTGCTCAACTCTGCTTACAGCGCTCAGACCACGATGAAAGAAATTCACATTCACATGGCGGGGGGGGAAATATTTCTCCATGAGAAAACTGATGTTGATTTCCCGCAGTGTCACAAATTGTATCGGTCACACAGAGGTGACCAGCTTGGGTTGACCCCATACAAGTTGCGCAAGTGACCCACTGGAGTGTAAATAACGGTTTGTATTTTCCCACATGCCAGCATCGGTATTCATTCTGTGAGCGGCGTTCAAAAATATCCATACAACTTTTAAAATGCTTATTTATTTTTCAAGAAACACCCAACTTAATATCGATTTTTATGGTAAACAAACACGTTTTAGAATTAGTTGTGCATCATTTTGAAATGTAAGATGTTTCAGCTATGGCATTATCCTTCAGTGGATTTACTGTTGCTTTTCACATTGCAGGGGCCTTTTTTATTAAAAGAGGCATAAATTATAGGGTTGACCTGTTGCCTTTGTGTTAGGTGACTAAAAAGCTAAATTAATAATAATATTGTACACTACTTACCTTTAAAAGCATCCCCCGAGTCTTAAGACTTTCTGTCAGAAGGGTACTGCATTGAGAGGTTTGGCAACTCTGTTAATGATTGTTAGCAACGTGGGAGGAAACCAGAGCATCCAGAAAAAAAAAAACCTAAGTTGGCCAATGATCCAAGATTGTCACGTTTACAAAGATGTCCTTTTCACGGGCCACTGCGTACATCAAAATTCTGACTGATAAAATCTCCTCGCCGGTTGATCAAACCTTTTCATGACCGAATGCAACATCAGCACGCGACGACGAATTTGCTCGAACTGCTGCGAAATCTGAGCGGATCAAAACTTGTGCTAAGACCGCACCCAAAGTGTTGCCTCCATCTCCTGGCGCTTGAGAGGGCTCACAGCACCTGGTATGCACTGGTGGTCACCCATCCAATGACTACGCATGCTCAACCCTCGTTAAGGTCTCCAATATCCGAGTAGACCAAGCACGTTCAGATAGACCTCGGCAAGGTAAGGTGATTGTACCGTTTTTACCGGGTAAAAGGGTAAAGGTAAAGGTGTCGAAATGCCAAGGGGTAAGGGTAAAGGGTAGGGTAAAAGGTAGGCTCGTTGCTTTTTACACTTTTACCTTACTTTGCCGAGGCCTACGTTCAGAGCAATGCAAGTCTTCAGTTGAATACTGACCAGTAGGGGCTCACAGCAGCACATGGAATGCTCAACTTAGTTTTAAAAAGGAAAAAAAAAACGTCACAGGGATAATTATTACCAAAGTCCCTTTGAAGACTTTGCAGAGTGCTACATTTCATTTTCTGAAATATGGAGGTCAGTATGCCAGGCCCTAAAAACAGAGCGAGTATGTTATCTGTACACCCACACTAGCGCACCGAGTTCAAAGGGGGGGGGGGGGAGAGGGTACACTTTCTATAATGTTATACATTCCAAACACGGACTTCCTAATTTACAATACCCAAAACATGGGGATACGCTTTGTAAAATGTCATGCTCTTACATAATGGTGCCTAGGCTCGAGTGCGGGAGACAATAATAACTGTAGAGATGTCAGATAGGCATCGGAAATCATCTGTGTTGATCAAAGCAGCCCAGGGGCCCTTATGTGGACGCAACAAGATTGAACACGCCCATAGTACACTTCATGCAGAATTGTAGCACTGCAAGTCGGCAGTTTTTTTTTGCCGAGTTTACAATATGTTTATTTTTCTAAGTAAACGTTAACACGACCCTTTCTCGACATTCTCATTACTTCTACCCCAAGACAGGATTGCTGTTGTTGGAAATTTCTTGGGGGGGGGGGGGAAAACTCGCATGTTGTTAAGCTAAACGTGCTCTCAATTTGCTAGCCAACCCCTTGGAGTAGAATTTACAGATCTATCAAGCCGCAAACCAACATACGTCTTGGATAAATTAATTCCAGGGACGTTCTCTGGATTGATTTAAGGAACCATGTTCTTATCCATTTCGGGGCTCAGGGACTCGCCAATCGACGGCCCCTAGCCAAACAGTTAACCAATAACACAGGCCCCAAGGGTTAATGGAACTTTTTGTAGAATAGTTACTTGCGGCGGGTTTATCCGCACATATCTGATCATCTTTCGGACTGTCATTAATCATTCAATGTGAGAAAAAAATGATAGTCAGCATAGTTATATATGGGCTTAAGAGTCACCTGTTTCAACCATCCCTGCAATCCACAACACATGGACAATCTCAAACTAAGCACACCAATTACGAATGAATGTGTGCATTATATGAGTATATATAACGATCTATCATCACTCCTGGGTGAATAAAACGAGCACCACTTTGTGGGGAGTCAACAATAGTCATTCTACCATAGGAATGTGGAATTTCCACACTGGATCACAGATAACAATAGAGATGAATGCAACCCCATTGACTATTCGAATAAATGTTATGTTTTACTTAACTATTAAGAGACAATTCATGAAAAAGAGAGCAGTGGTGCAGTGCTTGACGTATTTCGCTATGAACCTGGAGACCCGAATTAAATTCTAAGCCAGGGTTAAAATCAGTGGCTAGTAACATCTAATTATACCCATCCTATCCGGAATATTTGAGACCAAAACTGAATATTTCATGGAGAAAGCCAGCCGGCCAGCCAAAACTTCAGCCATTTTTATACTTCATGACAGTAAAAAAAATAATCCTGTTCTATTTTACTTAACCCGTTATTCATTCAGTAGTGAAATCGAGTGAGCAGGTGGTGCAAATGCGCCAGGATCCACAGGCCAGAGAGGGGCAGATTCACAAAGCCTACACAGAGATAGGTGAAGGTCGACTGAGAGCCCCCACCCCTCCCAATGCCAACTTTGCTCACGCTACAACGTCCATCGCATAGGTTCACTCAAGCGACAATGTAAACACCTCTACAGCAGAACTTCCCGTCACCCCACAACCTCCCCCCCCACCTGCCCCACGACGCGCGTAGCCGTTGCTCGGTAGCTACTGACCAGCCCGTCGCACGTCGAGACGGCTACGGAGGAGCCCTCCATCCCGCGGAGCCTCCCCTGGTAGTGACAGCTCCTCTGGGCTGGCGACACGTCCACCCTTCGGACCGCGGCGCCGGACGACGACGACGACGACGACTCGTCTCCCAGCACCGTCACGCTGAAGCCCGGCGCCAGCAGCCACGGCGTGGGCTCCAGCTCGAGGCTGAAGTCCTGGCCCGATCCCAGGAGGCGGTAGCGCAGGAGGCCATCGACTCCGGCCGTCCCCAGCGAGCGCTTCTGCCGGCCGGACGAAGGTGCGAGCACGGAGCCGTCGGCGTCGACCTCGACCGGGTGGACCAACTCGTAGTCTGCAACAAAAGGGTCGAGGTCAAGAGGTCGCGTTCGACGCCGCCACGCATCGCCAATCGCTTCCGTCCCACTGGCAGATGGTGCCGCGTCCGAACGGTTGACGTGGCATGAGATCCGAGGCAGCAGTTTCCCGATGAGTCGAGGTCAAAGGAGGTTGTCGTCCACAATGTTGTGGATTCCGTGACAGCGCACCATTGCCTCTTTCCCTCTGCAACATCACACGCCTGACCTCCAATGTCTACTCATACAATAGCAACATCATCGTCGCCACCACCACCATCTATCTGGCTGTGGGTGTTATTCTTGTTAGTTATGCAGTCAGCACATCCTCCAAGGACCGTTTTGACAGGACCCACAGTATCCCACAATCTGGCTAGTAACTCATAATCGTTGATTCAAATTGTTTGGTTTCTTCCTGATGCACGTATTGAATCGAGCACGTTGGAATTGTTTATTTAAAGCGAATGGAAATGATAGGGAACTGATGTAACGCTCGCTTAAGGTAATGGAGCAAATGAGGCTAACACATGGGATTTAAAAAACCTTGAGAGACATGCAAATCGAACAGGAGACACAATATCAGAAGCAAATAGTTAATTCAGATAAAGGCACGGGATGATGACAATTGACGTCTTCCCCTTGGTTCCAAATCACCAGACGTCCACATAGCAACCTGTAGAGGGACTACTCGACTTACGACCGTTCAACTTACAAACTTTCAAAGATACGAACAAACCCGTCCGTATGTCCAGTCGCCTGTCCGAACCGAGAGTCGTAAGTTCAACCGCCGATAGATGGCGGTGGAGGCATCTACATCTACAGAACGAGAAGAACCAGTGGCATCTACATCTAGAGGAGATAATACAAATTGTAAATCCATTCCCGGTGTTTAGTCTATATGCCGTACAAGATGTTTGAAATCGACAATAGTAAAGTTGGACTTACGAACAAACCTCTGTAGGCTGAACTCGTTCATAAGTAGAGTCCCTGTATTGGATACCTGTATTGGTAAGCGAACTACCCTCCATGCTGCACACATCTCACCCATCACAGCTACCTCCTCATGATTACATATATCCTATTGTGAACTTCCAAGTTGCTTTATTGGGGAGAACAGAGGCCCGGTGGTCTGTGCACGGCGCTCTCGACCCACAGACCTGGGTCCAATTCCCAGCCTTGACTAAGATCAGTGGCAAATGAGATCTCACCAACACGCACTGACCAGCACGGTGAAGTATGATTAAATATCACCCATGACCGATATGTCATCGGGAAGCCTTTATGCATGAAGTATATTGACAATGGAGAATTACATATCTTTTTTACATATCACAATAAACTAGATTTTGAAGAGCGGCCAAGATGATACAAATCAAACATATGTATCCTATGTGTAAGGAATAACGCACCACTCGGTGTCAGCCCCTCATCGATCTCGGACCAGTAAATTAAGCATCGTCTCGGAGCAAGTCAAACTGTTATTGTGTAATGAATGGACTGGCCCCCAGGCATAGGAATGTGGATTTAGTTCCACTGCCTCAGGACCACCAACTGATACGAGCACCATGCAATGTTCACTTGAGCAGAAGAAAAAAAAACGACTTTGTTCGCGTGTACAATAAACAGAGGCGTGAGTTAGTTAGTTTAAGTACTGATTCAATGAAATTCGCTAGACTCACAAATACATGTATGGCTCTCCATGAAATTGTTCTTATTCACAGTGCACTCAAAATATGGGAATGGCACATTTGAGAATCTGGTGATAAAACGAAAGAAATATATTTCACACTGTTAAGTTGAACGCGTCACTCTTAAAAATGCCTGCTCAATGCCAGACAGCGATAGAAAACAGCTGCACTCGGATGAGAAGAGTGGTATTCAGGCACAAAGTGAACCAGTAAGATGAGCGGCGGCCAAACAACGGGACTTGGAAAAGACAATAGAATTAATAAACCGAACATGGGCAGCGTGTTATTGAGGAGTCACTTCGGAATTGTACAGACAGGTCCTTCCCACGGCATTGAAACCACCGCTGGACATTCATACCCACTTCTCATCCCACCACAAGCGATAACATTACTAACATCAGAGCACATTGCCATATGCAGGATAAAAATAATATATTTCGTTTTTAGCATCCAAAATCAAAAAGGCCTCCCTACTCAAATGAGTGTGCGTATCTTGGTTGGCGGGCTTATGCCAGTTATGTAAATACCACATTCCTGTGACGGGTCCCTGTTTATACACAGGACAAAGCGATGACGGCAACAAACAAAAATGGTATTCTTTATATTCAGTTTAAAGGAATGGTGGTATTGATGAAACCCTGACGGGGATTTAAACTCGGCACTTTCGCACTGTCAGGTGAGCTCTCCAATCACAGAACCAGGTTAATTAATTCACTTGCCCGAAAATGTCAATCACATTTACTTTGGTATTTCTGTTAATGATTGGGCATTGCAATTATATTAATAGAATGACTGTGTGTTGGCCTCCAGTGAACACTGACCCCTGTTACTAAGTAAAGAGTACAACATAGAAAATATATATATATATAAAGATCCCCAGTATAGCCTCGGCAGACTGTTGGGGCAAGTACTGTTAGCGAGCACCTATGAATGCCGGCACGGTACACGAGAAGGTGGGGTAGCCAGCGCAACGCCCGACCACCTTTGTCTCTCCAGTGGCGATGTTATTACACACCGCACCAGGTACTCGTTTGAGGCTGAGTCGACCTAGGGGAAGCCCAGGACCGGTTCAGAAAATTATTGCCACTGGTGTTGGCCGTGAGCGGGAATCGAACTCGGGTCACCAGGTTCATAGCGCAGCGCGCTGACCGCTACATCACCACTGCGAAAATAGTTTAAACACACACACATCTGGTGTCGTTAACAGTGGGTAATGCTCAGAAAATAATACACGATGACTATTTAATAATTTATCACTATCAGTTGTGTTCTTCGGTTTGATTTGAAACAGACTTGGATCCAGTATACAGATGTATAATAAGACTTGGATATCTACTTAAACGTCCTGCGGCGTATAGGATCCTTGAAGCAAACTGTCAGGACCGTTTCAACGATGAAACCATCAAAAAGTGGTAAACAAGACGGCCACACATGGTCAAACAGAAGACATTCAGAGTTGCATTTAATCGTCAAAGTCATAAGCGCATGGCAAACAATGCCCTGTAAACTAACTGTAAACCCTCGTTTAAAAGGGCACCCTAAACATTAATCTAATCTCCCAGTGACAAAACTTGTTCGGTGTTTATTGGCCTCTGGCGGTCCATAAACCAGTCGAGCGCCAATTAATGTGACCAGGAGGTGAAGCTTAAAAGCCGACGGGGGGGGGGGGGGAGAACGCAAAATGCATGGCCACGACAACGACTCAAGCGACGCTGACGATGCCAACAGAAAAGCTTCAAGGAGCGGAGGCACGCAAGGGGGTGGGTGCAACGGTGCGATGTCATTCGTTTCTCGAGGAAAAGAAAGGCCAAAGAAATCGCAGTCACTGGCTTACGTTCAAATACGTTATCTGAGCTGTGCAATTGTCAAGACACACACACGCACCTCAATGTCTACACTCGTCAGCACGTGCCATCGATTCGTCATACTCGCTTGTCACCGACGCCGTTTAAATGGCCACAGAACCGCCGACATCAACCCACGGTCTTCCCTCTCCTTTCGTGTGGCCGATGTACAGCCACAATTTGACATTTCAGGTGGTCGCGCCGGATAATTGCCGCGTCGGGGAGCAGCAGCGGAGAATGCGTCGCTGCTGCTGCCACGTCGTCTCTCCTTCGCGTCTGTGGATCGGGGCAATGCGTCGTGACGCGCTGTACGGTCCGTTCTGGACGACCACAGCCGCACAACCGTCTGGATAAATTTTAATTGTCCATTTGTGCATCAGGAATCCGCGCCCGCTGTCTTTGGCGCGGATGCAGTTTAGGGTGGCCCAAGAAACCTACGATAATAAACCTTCGTTACCGCTCCAAAAACCAGTGGCGTGGAGTCTCTGCTCCACAGGGCACGAGAGGAGTCCCTTCACCCAGCGGCTCTCTCAGCATTGTCTTTGAGTTGTGCGCCTTTTGGCGTCATCTGGTCCAACACCATGTGAGACTAGGATCTAAGAAAAGCTGTCTCGGGTGTGGACCAATCAACTTCAAGGACAGTGCATATCATTATCAGAGTTATGTTTTTTGTTTGCATTATGACTGCAGGTATTGTGGTCTATGCAAACATGACTCCTTGTAAAAAGGTGTCAGTTTTGTTGCCAGATAGAAGGGTAGAAAAACTATTATCATATTTTTACTGGCAAATGAGGTTCCAATGGTATACGGGGGTCTTTGAATGTACTAGACAATTGTATCGAAGCGCCTGCAGTACTTAGAATAGCGGGCAGGTGGCGCTGTAGATACAATGCTCAACTTCCTATCACAACGCTGTGATTTAAACTCCGAGTTGGTGATCGTGTCATCCCTTACGTGTGCTTCTTAAACTTGTTTTCGCACCCTACCTAGCCGAGCATGCTGCATCATCGGAGTTGCGGGACTGTCACTTTGTGTGAAGTTAATGATGGCGGTTTCTTCCCAGGAGAAACCGGACCACTGCTGTGAGAATGTGGAATTTCCACCAATTGGCTTCAAAGACCCAAGACAGGTACGAGCCATTTCCCGTTTGCCATTTAAGCAAAGAGACAACTTGGGACACGTCTTCTTGGTTCTTTCGGTAAAGTCACGTAGAAGGAAAATAATAAAAATAAAACATAATAAAATAATTCTCACGACGTTTCGGCCACAACGCAAGCAGCCGTCTTCAGGTGGAGAACAGGTCTGTCGAAAAGGCAGAATCTGACCTGTTTTCCAACTGAAGACGGCTGCTTGCGTTGTGGCCGAAACGTCGTGAGAATTATTTTATTATGTTTTATTTTTATTATTTTATTATTTTCCTTCTACGTGACTTTACCGAAAGAACCAAGAAGATGAATCCCTGCAGTCACGAAAGCTTTAAATCGAAATTTAACTAGGGCACGCTTCAGCACTCGAACGCGTACGCAAATAAAGTGTAATTTTATTTGTGTTGTTGGGTTAGATCTCTTAAATATATAAATGTGTCGTTAAACCCGCCACCAACCGACACAGACAACTAGTAAGGTTTGTCACGTAAACAGAACATGCCTATTCTTGACGAGTACAGCACACCGGTGTGTTGGAGAGTAAACCCACAACATGCTAATTGTCTGTGCTGGGTGGTGGCGGGTTTAACGACACATTTATACGTATGCGATAATACCCAAAAACCTCTATTGTGGATAATATTGTTCGCGAAAGCCTCCGTGTTAAACAAAGTGTATTCAATCTTGATTTGAAGCTTTCGTGACTGTAGGAATCCATACTCTTTGGTTCTTTCGTCCAACATCAGCGTTCCACCTGATGATGGACGCTTGTGTTGCGCCCGAAACGTCGTGATTTATTTTATTTTATACCTACGTGACTTTACCGAAAGAACCAAAGAGTATAAAGTGTATTCATTCGTGGTGGTGCCACAGTGGTGTGACGCCTAACAACACTGGACTTGCATGTAAATATGTCTGCTGCCACAATGATTACTAGATCGAATCGATCTCCTGGTGCAAGCAGTTGGATCAGGAGAGCAATATTCTTAAGTCCTTCCCCACCTCTCTTCACCTAGCAATATAAATAGGTATACACACGTGTGAACACTCCCACCTCTTCCAATACGTCTAGGCCCGCATGGAAGAGTAGGCCAAAACACCCTCCAAAGAGAGTATTGCCTTGAGCCCTCTTCTGCCCGGCGGTGATTGTTGGCAGGCAATTGCAGGGCTGCACCTTTGCCCCGCTATTTTCACTTCACAACCCAAGCCTCGCTCGCAAAAGTGACTTTCATCGCAATCGGCTCCCGCCTGGTTGTAAACTAACGTTCACGGGTGCACGCGCATGCAAGTAACAGCGCGTGCGTTAAGGTGAGCATGTGGTGGTCGAACGAGCAGTCTGTAATAGAACTACTGCGTTGGCATTTCGGGTCAAACGAGCAGTCTGCAAGAAGAGGAACTGCGTTGCAATTTCGGTGACTCCCTCTCCTGGCTGCAAATGGACATTTGCATCTCCGTTTTGAAATGTAAATGTCACGGGAGGGACTGCAGTGTTCCAAGAAGCATCATAATTCCGTGTATTGCCATGAAGCAATCACCCCTGGGTCAAATACACACGCTTTGAACATGGCCAATGCATAAATCGCACGAAGGCTGCTGCTGCTGCTGAATAAGGACGCAGGGAAAAAGTTCAACAAAAGCATTTCAAGCTGGGGGGTTTTGTAGTGCATGCGCGCGTGTGTGTGTGTGAATGTAAGTGTACAGGGGAGCGGTAGTGTAGTGGTTAGCGCGCTGCACTACGAACCTGGCGACCCGGGTTCGATTCCCGCTCACGGCAAACACCAGTGACGATTATCTGAACCGGTCCTGGGCCTCCCCTAGGTCGACTCAGCCTCAAATGAGCACCTGGTGCGGTGTGTAAACATCGCCGCTCGGGAGACAAAGGCGGTCGGGCGTGGTGCTGGCCACCCACCCCCTCGTGTACCGTTTCGGCCTTCATAGGTGCTCGCTAACAGCACTTGCCCCTACAGTCTGTTAAGGCTATACGGGGGATCTTTGTATCTTTGTTTGAATGTAAGTGTGGGCTTGCACAAAACTCAAACAAGTTTTTTCCTCTCCTCTTCTTCTTCAATCGAGAGTGGAGATCGCAAGGATATCCCCCATTGTTAACGTCAAGCCAACGCATCGCACGTCGCTCGCACGACACAATAATAACGATAATAGCAGCAACACCAAAACACAAATACTTGGCATGCACTTCAAAGCCAACGACGGGCCTTTACAAAAAGAGCCAATCACCTCCACACCACGTGACTTGTGCAAAGGTAGTGACCAGACTTGCCTCCCGTGAAGCAGAAGCAACGTGTGTGCACATGTGTAGCTCTTTAGAAGAGCTCTCCTTCAGTGGAGGCCTCACTGCCAGCAGTGGTATGAGCAAGTAATTGCAGGGCTGCACCTTTATCTTCTCCCGACCACGTGTGTGCATGTTTGTGTGTGTACTTTATATACTTGTGGGCAGCAGCAGTGCAGCGGGTCGCGCTCTGAGTTACAAAACCGAGGAACCGAGTTCGATTCCAGCTCACGGCCAACACCAATGACGAACATCTGAACCGGTCCTGGGCCTCCCCTCGGTCGACTCAGCCTTAAATGAGTACCTGGTGTGAATTGTAAACATCACCACTATGGAGAAAAAGGTGGCCGGGCGTGGTATTGACCACCCACCCCCTCGTGTGCCTTCATATGTGCTCGCAAACAGCACTTGCCCCAAAAGTATGTTAAGGCTATACGGGGGATCTTTGTCTTTGCAAGAGCACGTGTGGGATATGGTGGATCAGAATGTTACGTGCTGCAGACTCAGTGAGCCGACATGTGCATAATTGGTAAGTGTTGTCTGAACCTCTCCTGGGCCTCGCTTATGTCAGCTCAGCCGTGAATGGATAACGTACCTGGTGGCAGGGCCACCTAGTGGGCGGGTTTTGGGGTGCAAAGGGGGTCATTTGCCCCCAGGTCTCACGCAACGGAGTGCCCCATAATGGCCCTGGTTTTTTTTTTGTAATCGCTAATGAATTCTGCTCCCGGGGCTTCATTGGAACCTCTGCCAGGTTGGGGTGATGTGGCCAACTTAAAGCAAAGAGACTGCAACGTTAACCCGTGCCTGGTGCTTTGTTGTGGTGGCACCTGCCCATGCTCGCTAACAGTCCCCATGCATCTGCATGCTGTACGGAGAAACAAGACACGTGTTTCTCTGTGCGTGGCACTGGCGGGTAGAGCATTTACCTGTGCCAAGCCCCAGGCTTTCATCCGCTAAGAAATCTTCGTTGCTGTGGGAGGAGTGTCTTCCGACGTCCGTGTCCTTCGAACCTGTCGTCTGAAAATCAGATTAAGGTAAACGATAATTGAAGGTTAGAGTATTACACATTTTAAATACTGCAATAACACGAGGCCTGCTCTTCCTCCTCTGACCTTCCTTGCACGTCCGAGTATCACGGTTGGCTACGTACGGTGAGAAAGACGTTCAACACACATATTTCGTCTTCTCTTCTCTAAACAAACATACAGTATCCGAGAATACGCCTCCCCTTGTCCCGGTCGTGCACATGTGCCCTTGTTTTTAAGAGCGTCTAGAAATCGCGGTTGCATTTAGATGCTACACAAATCACAATTGTTTTGCATCAACGCAGCAAAAAAAACTAAATAAACCGATTGAACTTTAATGTTTATGCCAACAAACTCGGTTTCCAAATCTGTATTTAATGACATGCTGTCATCTCTGGGTCATTGTTTGCCGATGTGGTCCGTCTTGGGTTGTTGTGTTTGAGGCACGCAATCGTTGCGCACAGTTCAATGTGTGCAACAGTTTAGACGTTATTCCAAAAAGGGATTTGCGAGCGCTTATGTTTTTAGGGACCCTTCAGGAGAGTCTAGACAACTTTCTGGTGCATTAAAAACGTGCAGCTCTACAGCTACATCGTCAGCATGCCATGGTCAATCCATTGCTGCATAAAGGCTGCCACGACCTTTCATGACCCTGCGATGCCGTAATCCACCTAGCAACCTGCACATGACCTGATTTCATCACTCCATCTCCCAACCGGACGCGTCCTCTTGGATGTGTTACACGTTACATTACCTTAGAAAATGAATACTTAAAACTCAACAGTGTCTTATTTTTCAACGCATCTTTTAGGGCATTAACATTATTACTATAATGCTTACAATAACCCACATGAAGTGGTTCCAGTACATTGGTAACTGAATGCAAAGGGCCATCAACAATCATATTAGCTGCAAATAAAAGTGTCTCCTTCCTAAAGCATGAGATGGGGCGGCAATCTTCTCCACTGGCGAGCATAAAGCCAGCCGTGGAAACTCCACATTCCCCTGGCAAGGTATTTGTCCAACCATTGGCTCTCCCCAATATTGACTTCCCAGAGAGTGGTGGTTACTTTATGTATCCCAGGTATACGATTGCGAATAGAGGGCTCTTAACATCACCAAAACGAAAAATCGGCGACAAACGGAATAAGCCCCTAGATTGCCCTGGCGAGGAGAGGCAATCGGTTTGGGTGCCGAACTTGCGAGCCAAGCGAAAGCGAGCCCGAGCCAACTCACCAACCACGATCAATGCCCCTCTCGTTGACAATGACCCGTTCCTGACCCATACCCAAGGCAATTCACAAAAGCCACTTACTTTCCTCTTTTAATTTCGCTTGTCGGCGGTGCTGTTTCACAGCGCCACCTGCTCGGATATTGGATTTTTACAGAAAGGTGCAGGTGCAGTCCTGCAACTGCTTTCTCACGCTATTGCTTGAAGGAGGGCCTCCGTGAGAGGGGGGTTTCTAAATTAACGGGGAAAAAAAACTTCCTTCGGATGGCACCTTAACCGATTCCACGCTGCGCGAGCCAGACATCTTGGGAAGAGGTGGGAATACCCGCACTCTACCCCAACCACTCGTAACCTCCCGATAGACTTAACTGCGGTGTTATCACCGCCCGACCTACGCACACACGTATACTTATAGAGCATGTAATCACAAGCATACAAGGTAAAGGAGCAGCCCTACAATTGATTGCTCATGCCAATGCTGGCCGATGGGCCTCCACTTAGCGGGAGCTCTGGAGAGACCCCCCTCGGGTAAGCTGGCCTACTCCTCTACGCTGGCCGGACGTCTTTGAAATAATGCATTGCACGCATTAAATGCCATCCCTTTGGTCAGCGGAAGACAATTGGGGTTCATCGCACGTGCCACGTGCTCGCATGGCATTGCGCACACGTGCGCAGTAAAGACGAGGGACGTGGACAAATTCGTGTACACACAGTAGAGACGTTACCTACGCATAGACGATATTTTTTTTTTTAAACGGCGATGTCACGCCTGCACCTGCAGCACACATTTCCCACGTGTCACGCCGCATATCAACCCCACCGCCGCCTTATCCACACCGCGCTCCACGATACGCCGCCGAAATTCGCGTTCAAACATGCGGCATGTGCATGCCTCATGCGCAACGTACTCACCACAACTCTCCACCCATCCCCCCACCGCCACCACCACCCCCCCCCCCCCAATGCCCCCTCCTCTTTCCCTATTCATCCGAGGTCCCAGCCACTTGCCTGAGCATTTGTTCCACACGCCTGCCACAGCGCGACCAGCAGCGGCAAGAGCAGCAGCAGCATCATCAGCAGCAGCACGTGGCGTGGAAGACGGGCAGAGGTGATGCAGGACGCCTCCGGGATGGGCTGATGGTCTCTCTGATCCGAGGTCCCCATGGAACGACGAGGCGTAGACTTGACTCAGGAATCCAACTCTCGGACTCAACTTACAAGCTCACGCTGGTGCATTGATGATGCCCGCCGCTGCTGCTGCTGATGATGGTGTTGGTGCTGATGGTGATTATGGTGGCGATCGGTGGTGGTGGTGGTGATAATGATGAAGACACCGCCGGCATGAGTATGTTGAATTTCAAGATCGTCGTCGTCCAGCTGTGAAGACAAGAAGTCCCAGGCCGTTCGGCTTGGAGCTCTGATGCTGCTGCTCCTGCTGCTGCTGCTTCTGATGAAGAACATTGGTGGCTGGGGCGGTCTTCAAGGCGATGACACCATTCTGGTCGTGGTGGCCCGGAGCGCACACCGACAGAGACGCGCTTCCATTCAGCGCCTGTGCTTTACGCATTCATAGAGCCCAGCAGCGGTGCCATGCTCGGTCAACTGTATCGCCTGTTGTAACACACGTAGATATATGTGTGTGTGTGTGTGTTGGCATGTATATGTTAAAGTACATACATGATTGTGTCCTTGCCTGTTCACTATTCTCTGTCTAGAGCACGCGGCCCACGGGCAGTTGCTAAGTGCCCTCGGAGGCAACGGAAGGCGGCTCTGTTTTCATTAAGGTCGCTCTCTCGCAGACTCGAGGAACGAACTCCCTTTTAATCACGCAGAGCGTGGTGGTGGTGGTGGGTGGCTCATCCCCTCCCTTGGTTTTGCGGCTTGGTATCCACACCCACCAAAACCTTCTCCCTCCACCCGCCCCACAGCCACCCCCACAGCCTCTCTTTAGCCTCCAACCCAACACCCACACACACGCACACAGCCATCCATCCACACACACACACACGGAGCTTAGCCTCCCACATGCACCCCCCAACGCACCAACCCCCACTCACTCACCCACCCACCCTTATCCCTCTTACCAGCGCAATCTATCAAACCTCTTGCCTCGCTTTGATTTCTATTGCCCGTGTAGTCTCACTGAGCCTGCTCCGTTCCTCAATTACCCAGGGCCGAGCAGCGAGCCAGCCTCTTAAGGAGGCCAGAGTAAAACAAGTTTGCCAAGTGATCTAAAGAGTCTGTTCATTTCAATAATTACTAACATAATTGCGTGCCAATAACTGGCAGTCGTCAAACTGAAGTACACATTTCCATGTTTTGTCAAATTCACAAAACATGAACTCAAGGGTGGATATTGATTGTGCGTGCATTATTATTGATTGCAAAACAAAACTGTGGCTTTAATAAACAAACACTTGCTAAAGAATCCTATTGCCCTCTATGGGTTTATGCCTGCCTAAGCATTTTGGGAAAGGTGGAGAAATGCAAGACTGATGATGACAACTCGGGCTTAATTTTTCGCGGAATATTATCCGCACCTCGACAACCCGGAAACCCCGGAGGGAGGCGTATTGTCCAGGGTGGGAGTTGGGGTTGTTCTTTTTTCCGGAGCTCAGTACCTGGCCAACTCGATCAAAATATTAGTCCTGATTACTTCTATTAGTAAATCCTTTATATTAAGTTCGCTTGCTTGCTTGCTTACGACCGTGCAAATCTTTCGGTCGTTTTTTTAACCCACTTCCCGTGATCCAATCGAGCTGACATTTTGCACACAGACTCGTTGCGCGAGACAATTAATGTTCGTGAAATTTTTTTTCCAAAATTTTACACTGTTTAGGGAAAACAAATTAAATATTTAATTACAAATTGCTTAATACTGGCAGACAATCATCTGACCCATAGGTGGCAGCCATCTCAAGCCAGAGGACGAGAGGACTCTAGCCGCCATGCATATAAAGGATTTAGAGTGAAAAACTTTGTTTTTACGGGTTAATTTTTTAAATCCTTTATATTAAGTTCACTTGCTTGCTTGCTTGCACGCTTACGACCGTGCAAATCTTTCGGTCGTTGTTTAACCCAATTCCCGTGATCCAATCGAGCTGACATTTTGCACACAGACTCGTTGTGCGTGACAATTTATTTTCGTGAAAAAAAATTGAAAAATTTTCCACTTTTTAGGAAAAAAAAATTTCATATTTAATTTAAAATACCAATGTGATAAAAATGAAACTCTTACTCAAGAAAAACAGAAATGAATAATAAAATAAAACCGAGGCCACGCATATAAAGGATTTATAGTGAAAAACTTTGTTTTTACGGGTTAATTTTTTCATGCTGTAATCAAACCATCGGTATAGCCACATTTGGTGTCAGGAGCGTCCATGTTTTCAGGTGACAGACGCAAATTCGAATCGCCTACAGCACGTTAACCTTTATGTTACAAACATTGAATCGCACCCCAAGGATGATGCTAACAAGTTGTCGATGCTATCCGTGTAACGTTATATTTATCAAAACAAAGTAGCTCACCTGTTAACAGCGACTCCATTCCGTCTGGGGGACATACCCACCCCGTGTTTTTACGGTGTCCCAGGCATGCTGGTATGAACACGTGCATTGTTAATTGCCGTTGGGCTGTGCAAGGTACTTAGGTCATTATTTGTGGCCATGCCTTGCTATGCGAAACATGTCATTAAGGGTCATAATGCAGCATACCACCGAGATCTATTGCTTTTCCATACATTGAAGGCGCAAAATCATACGCATACATAATTTGGGGGGGTTGCACCGTTCAATATATGTGATATTTATATAAATGGCAGGAAATATTAATATCCATTGTTAATTAAAGCAGGCTTGTGCAGGATTCCTCACTTTATGCGGCGATAACTGACGGACAAGGCTGGTGATGGAATGGGAGCCAGATGAGAGAACGCACGAAAGGATCGTCTACCGTGGAGATGGAGCGACAAGATCGGCATCTGTTCAGGAGCTGGACAGATTGTCGCATCCGTGAGATGGCAAATGGTGTAGGAGGCCATCATCCAGCAGTGGAGGGACAATGGCTGACGACGACAAATACTGATGATGACTAGTTGTAGATACATTAAATTAGGTAGGAATTACATCAACAGCAAATATTTTACAAATGGAGTAATTCATATTTGTGAATATAACTTTATTTAATCGCCGAGGTCCAGTCTTGGTCTGTGCAAGTACCTTGCAAGTAACTTGCACAGCCCAAGACCCCGAGGTCGACCCAAGACACTGCTGGCGGTGGGACGATGTCGCTTAACTGGCCTGGGAACACCTGGGAATTCCACAGGCAGAGCTGGAGTCTGTGTATAGTAGTGTAGTGTGTAGTAGTGTAGTGTATAGTGTAGTGTATAGTAGTGTGGTAGTGTAGTGTAGTAGTGTAGTGTATATTAGTGTATAGTAATGTAGTGTGTAGTGTATAGTAGTGTAGTGTATAGTAGTGTAGTGTATAGTAATGTAGTGTGTAGTGTATAGTAGTGTAGTGTGTAGTGTAGAGTAGTTGTAGTGTATAGTAATGTAGTGTGTAGTGTAGTAGTGTAGTGTAGAGTAGTTGTAGTGTATAGTAATGTATTGTGTAGTGTATAGTAGTGTAGTGTATAGTAGTGTAGTGTATAGTAATGTAGTGTGTAGTGTATAGTAGTGTATAGTAGTGTATAGTGTAGTAGTGTATAGTAGTGTATAGTGTAGTAGTGTATAATAGTGTAGTAGTGTATAGTAATGTAGTGTATAGTGTAGTAGTGTATAGTAATGTAGTGTATAGTGTAGTCGCCAGGGAGTGGGAGGTCTGGACCGCCACTACTCAACACGCTGCCGCCGCGACCCTCACCAGTCCAAGCGGACTGAGAAACGAACAAACGAACTTTATTCAAAATTGATCAAGGAAATTACTTGAATTACATTACAATGTGTTTGCAATTGGATCGCATATGTACACAAAATACACACTTTAAACTGATTTGCACTAATAAGATTAATGTCTAAATGTGTAATAATTATGGTACGCCAGTGTCTAGTGTCTAGACAAAAATTGCTTGGTATACTTAAGGGTTTTTTTTCTTTAAATGTAAACAAGTTATCAAAATCATAGGCTTTTCTTACTCAAATGGGTAATCGGACAGTTATCAAAATAATGTTCAGCCCTGAGCCAATGGTTAAATTCTACATTTCTATGGCATCGGCCAGTCTTTTGATGAAATGACCACCACTGACATCCCACAAATTGAAATGGATTGCTTCAGTATTTTGGCAAATCGCCCGATGATGCTGGATGTAATTACCAGCGAAACGTCTCATTCAAATTGTAAATTTTGTGAATGTACTCTCCAACACACCGGTGGGCTGAGGTAGCAACTCATTGGCGCGTTGTTTACGTGACAACCCTTACTGGCGATCTAACCCAAAAAATCTTTATTATGAATAATATTGATCGCGAAAGCCTACATGTTAAACTGGTATGAATGTTATAGACCTTACGGAGACAAGACATGTTGAATAATCTTCAAGTTGAAAGATATTAAAATCTGCATTAAATCATGCCAGAAATGTACGTTGCGAGCTGGGTTTGTACCCAATTAATTTGCAACTCATTAATCCCACTAATTCTTTCTTGGAAAAAAAAGGTTTCATCTGCAAGGGCTCTCACTTGGTTCTACGAGGCTACTTCATCATAAACAAAGGCTACTTACTGACTGGACGGATTTAACCCGAAGCGTCTAACGTTTATTTTTTTTTGCATCTTCCGGTAGAATGCACACATTTGTATTCGATTCGTGCCATCACAGCGGCATGTCAGCGATGGCCTTCTATCATTCATCAGGTCGCAGGGGAGACATGCGGACAGACAAGGAAAAGAAGTGCAAAATAAAGGAGTGAAAACAAACAGCTCTTTCATGTGTCCTTACGTTGTCGCATGCACACAAAGTTCAGGCCAACAGTCACTCATTCAACGTGCGGTGAGTTTCAGCGGTGGATTTAACGCACACACAAAAATACCACCAACGGTGTCCGGTTACGTGCTAAGGGTCAGACACCACTCAATCCTTACCTTCACAGCGCCTTCCACGTGTCACATATGGGTCCAGAACTAACAACAGGTGGTGCAGGGTGTGGTGATCACTGCACACCTGGGTTTGTTTGAGAGGTTCGGTAGCCTAGCGGACAGCACACGCGCCCACTGAGTCGGTTAGCACAGAGACAACGGTTCAATCCCCACGGGTTCCGCCTTGGTAATTAATATACACCGTGACAAAATTGATGTTAAAAGCCACGTGGCTTTTGTGTGCCATTGTCAGTGCTCTGCACTTAATACCGCATGATTTATCAGCGGTTGGCGAATCGCGCTATGCACCCTGTGACTTGACTTTCAATCCCTGACTACCGCTGGTGATGTCTGAACTGGCAGTGCGGTATCGCTCTTCACCGACATGCGCCAACCTGCACTGATCAGCATTGGCAACACGTGACAGGGAAGCCTTCATCCAGCAGTGGATGTACAAAAGGGCCTTTTTTATCTTTAACAGTACGTCATGTGTAGTATATTTGTTCCTGCCATATTAATAGGGGATTTCCATCAAGAACCTCAACAGAAATTAGCACTCCCCCGCACTCATTCATTTGATTGGGAATATTGCAATTTAATATCAGTGTATATGACACCATCGCCATCACGCAAAGAAGGCATACTCTTGTGACTTATACCACGGGTTTCATCAAACAAAATGGTAATGAACAACAGGGGACATACAAACAGCTAGGGTCACCTCTCGATGAAAGCCATCATTGATTTCTT